ATATATATATATATATATATATATATGCATACACATATAGGATATATAGGTGTTGACAAAACAAATGTTTTGTGGAGCTTACAATATAAGAGAGTTGAAGAAAATGAAAAGAGAGCCCAATGGTAAGAAAAGCAGAGAAGGAAGTGTGATGGAGGCAGATATTAAATCTCGAGGCTATAAAAAGGACAATACTGAAGACTCAACTTTTGGAAATAAAACAACTTCCTGGAACATTAAGAAGCCTAACATTTAATAAATGACTACCTTAATGCCCATAATACAATTAGCCATCCATTCCCTTCTCTGGAGACAGATGCTTCTCCGACGTATCTAGTTTGTTTTATCCTAAAATTCTCAGCTCTTTAGCACTTTACCATTCCTTATATAGCTGTTCATTCCACATTTTTCATGTGTTATCACTTATGACGAATCTGATGGGATATTTTTAGATACCTAACAGAAGTAGGCAATATAATCTCAATCTTTACACCCTCCACTTGAAATTTATGGCTAAAGAACATTATCTTAATACTCCATCCTACCTATCGTCCACAAAGACTGGAGAAGTGAAGTTACAACAGGAATGCCTCAACATTTCAGCCATTCCTTCTGATTCTATAAAAGCAGTAGTAGGCTACACAGCTCTCTTCTGACTTGTGCTATCTAATTCCTTGAGTTAGCCACATTGGTGGCTTACACCAGAGATTATTAATGAAGAACTAAGTTTATATATGTTTCATTTAAGGTGTATATATAAAGGTATGTCGGAATATTTGCATACTATCAGCAGTGGTTTGCAGACCATATAAAACTTATCACTTAAGTTATCCGTGCACTTTTGGTTATGAACTCTGCAAGAAATCCTTAGGAGCACTCACTGCCTACTTCCTCCTCCATCAATCACCACACAGAGGGGGAGCAGGCAGCTCTGCTGAGTGTTGCTTTTCATTTGTGTCTACAAGGAGATGAATTATTGACTTCAGCTCCTCCAAGAAACTGGACAGTGTTTCTGTTCAATAAGGTTTACCTTCAGTAAGTTGGTGAATAATATATTCTCAGTGTTTTTTTATGTATGAGAACATATACTCGGCATTTTGGGGAGAGGTCAACAAAAACTCAGATGTTTCTTTTCCTAGGGATAAGCTTCAAGATAATTGAACATCAAAAACTTCTTATTTCACACAACTGCATAGTGTCTTTATAGACTGATCTATAATAGAAAAGATGTGCATTTTTTTTTAAATCGGGTTTATCGTTGGAAATGTGTTTTTCCTAAGCAAATGCACTGCATTAGGAATGGAATTAGAAAGAGCAACCAAATAGACATGATACTTACCTTAGACAGACTCTTATTTTAGCTGCATCCACAAAGCATGTTCTTTTGCTAATATGTTTCCAATATGTAAACCTTTTTCTTCTTTCGCTACATTTGGTTGAGCTGTTCTCCTCTCCTTCAGTTATAAAACACTATGATGCTTATGATGAAGTTGACACTTATTGACTGTTTGGACATTTGATGGCATGAGGCACACTTTTCATCCAAAGACTACCCATTGCATAACGGCCTGGCCCAAGCAGTCTTGAAAGTCAAAACCAGACTGATGTGATAGGAAGAACACTGAATCTAGAGTTCAAAGATGAGGTTCGTATCCTGCCTACCAGTGACTACAACTGTATGACTATGGATAACTAACTTAACCTATCTGGGGCTATTTCTCATTTTAAAATCGCCTATAATTATACCTGTCCTATATAGTGCACAGGGATATTTTGAAGCTCAAATTAAATGATGAGCTAGATCTCCTGTCCCAGATCTGAGGGAAAGAAATAGAAGAACAAGTATATGAGAGCAGATAAGGTAAGTTAGAAATCTTTTCCAAATGGCTACTTTTATGTCGGCTAGAGATTACCACTGGAGGAAATGAAGGTCAGAGAATATTAAAAGGGGTCATCAAGGAAACATTCATTAAAGATAGGTGGCCTCTTTAACAAACCAATTTTGTTTCCTAGATCTCCATTTTCTGATCTGCTTGAGTGAGGGGAAAATGTGCTGTCTCTAAGACATTATAGTTCTAGAATATAATTTTGCCCATTTTAAAAAGTGTGACTAATTTCACCATATGCATGAGAAAGAATTTTAGTAGATTATATGTAATCAGTTCACATTTTTGTACATTTCCTCTCTAATAGTTTTCATCATTTTCAAAACTTACATGAGCTCTTTTTCTTTCTCTCCAGGTGATGAGAGTAAGAGATACTGTTATCATATTAACAGATGTTGTGTGTGTGGCAGGTACTGAGCTAAGTTTTTTGTATAGTTTATGTTATAAAAACTCAGTAATAACCTTGACTTTGGTACTTTTATTATTCTAAATTTGTATATGAAAAAAAATGAGGCTTGCCCTTAAGTATCAGAAGCCAGATTGGAATGAACCCATGTCTTTCTGACCACAAAGTCCACACTTATTATGAAGAGCTACACACTTTCTCATTGTGTAAGATAATAGGCATTAGAAAATAACGTTAGGGAAGATAAAATCCTTACTCTTTAGAAGTTTACAACTTAGATGAAGAAATTTTTTTAAAGATTTTATTTATTTATTTCACAGAGATTGAGAGAGAGAGTGCACAAGCAGAGGGAGCGGCAGAGGGAGAAGCAGGCTCCCCACTGAGCAAGGAGATTGAGGCGGGGCTCAATCCCAGGACCACCTGAGCCAAAGGCAGACGTTTAATGGACTGAGCCACCAGGTGCCCCGAGATGAGGAAATTAGATGAGTATGTAAATGATAAAACCAAAAAACAAAGGTTAAAAGGAGAGTAATATGAGCTATTTTCTTCCAGCTTTATTGAGATATAATTGACATACATTGTGTAAGTTTAAGGTGTAAAATTGTGATAATTTTATACATTTATTTTATTGCAAAATGTTTACCACAATAAGGTTAGTTAACACATCCTACCCTTCACATAATTACCATTTCGTTGTTATGGTTAGAATATTAAAGCTCCACTCTCATGATGACTTTCAAGTATGCAAAGCATATTGTTACCCATAGTCACCACGCTGTACACTAGATCCCTGAAACAGACTCATCTGAAACCAGCAAGTGTGTATTCTTAGACCAGCATCTCCCCATTGCCCTCACACCTCAGCCCCTGGCAACCCCCATTTTATTCTGTTTCTATGAGTTCAATGTTTCTAGATTCCACATAAAAGTGAGATCTTACAGTATTTGCCTTTCTCTGTTTTAATTACTTTACTTAGCATAATATCCTCAAGGTGCATCCAGGATGTTGCAAATGTCAAGATTTCTTTTTTATGGTTGAATAATATTCCATTATAAATTATAAAATAATAAACTATATAATTATAATTATGTATTACATATTTTGTTTTTATTTATAAGATAAATATATGAATACTTATTTTATAGCATATAAATATAGTCATATAATATAATTTATATTTTATTTTTATATACTATATTATTTATATATTTATATGTACTATATATCATTTATATATTTTATACTAATTATGTAGAGTTATATATATTCATCATATGTTACATATATATGCCACATTTTCTTTAAGAGCTAATATTTAATGATTATTTATATGATTGCTGTACTAGGCCTTC